CCAATGATTCTTTAAGTGAAGCAGATAGAGGTTCACATAATGGATTATTTTGCCAATGAAGAAAAATCAAAATAGGAAAATAAAGTAAGGACTTTTATATGCTGCCTCTAACCTTTGGGAGCAAGTAAGAAGGAAACAATCCAAAAGGATAGGGAAAACACAGCCTAATGGCAAAGAACAGATAAACATTGCCCAAGGAAATGCAGGAGGAAAAAAGCACTTTAACCAGAGGAGAGTAATCACTAGTGTAGCCTGGAATAAACAAAAGGCTTTCTTAAGTCTGGAAAAGAGGGGAAACAGCAATGGAAGGTAAGAAAGTAATGAGTAAGTTTAGGAAAAAATCTAGTGAATGAAAGTATATAAAGTATTTTGTGGCATGTCTGCACATATTTTCCTGACAGGGAAATGCATATTTTGAAAGCTGTTGGGTTATTGTAATTTATGGATCTATTTAGAAAGCAACTGTCATTAAAATTGGCAGTGTACTCTTACTTAATTTGACTTGGTTAGTGTGGTGTCTTTGGTCAGAAAAAGGAGATGGCATCAGATGCTTTGATGCACTCTGTTTATAAAGATTGTGTGTACATTCTTTTCCTCTGAAACCATGTGAATGTTTCACTCAAAGTCTCAGCTCCTTCTTGGTTGATAGTCATCTTGAACCTCTCTTGCTCTGCTTTTCTTACAGCTACATTCCCAGTGATTGCTCAGGCCTGTGTATGGGTATCTGTGTCTTCTCTGCATCTGTTTCTATGGCATTTTACATCTCGTTTTCTCACACATGCCTATCCTCAAATATCCAACAAAACATGTGCCAACCACATGTGTCTTTGTTTTCGGTGGTGACATGCACCCATATTCTTGTGGAAACTGGTTCTTTTTTTTTTTTTTTCAGAAAGTTAAACTACTTCTTACAGTGATTTTGAAGAGCACTGCCTATGACAATTAGCTGTAATGCATTTTATCTAACAGCAATTTTATGCATGGCAGACCATGTTAATAAATTGAATCCAGCATGGAAAACAATACTAGCAGCAGCACAGGTATAGGGATCACAGCCTCCTCAAGAGAGTCACTGTATCATTTTTCATATGACTACTTGCACTGGAATGCAATCAACAGTAGAAAAAGTCGGCAAACTTACAAAATGTACAATAATAATTCAGAACTACAAATTTACAATGCTGTGTACACTACTGGTCTTTCATTATCGTCACACTTTTTAAATTATTTCCACTTAAACTATAAGCTTTAAGGAAACTGCTTATGCTTAGTGTGTTGTTTCTCCAACCATATACCTTTGAGACAAAAATTTCCTATGGTGAATTCATCTTTTAATAGATGAATTATGTTTAAGAAACCTTAAGAAGTTGAATATGTATTTTAAAATTGTGGGAGGATAAATACAGAAATGTAAACATCAAAACCAGGAATTTAAATACATCATGGTCCAGAAAAGGATATTTTTTCATAAATAGATAATTTTTATCTGATTTTTAAGCTGCATCATCTAGCCAGAGACATATATTTGCATTTAATTTGGGTTTGTCCAGGTCAACAGCTCAATTTTCTGGACCACTTATTGTCCCTGTCGAAAGTTAAACCAGAAATTTTAAAAAGGCTTTGTGCTTCAGAATGCACAGTATTGCAAGTTTGTGAGAAATTAAATAAGTGATAAATTTATACTGCTTTCTGGTTCACTAATGGAGCATCCACACATCTTCTAAAGTCCTGACAAAGTAGATGCAGTGCTATTCATCCCTGTGGCCATGCTGAGAAGCAAATTTCCAGCACATGTCCAGCTACATTAAAAAAAAAAAAAAAAAATTTATAAATGGAATATTCGGCATTCAGAAAATAACAGATGATGTTTTATTTATCCTTACTCCTTTTCTATTCTTATCTTAAAATCAATAAATTACACTTCAGAAGTAATTTTCATGACCAATTGATGTTGACAGCCATAACCCAAAAGAGTGCAAAAGTTACTTGTGCTTATTTCATTTTATTGCACTATATGTTTTCTCCTCCCAGTCCCACTGTAACATCCTTTTGTAAAGGCCACAGGATGTCTAAACCAAGAGGGACATCTGCTACAGGTTAGAAGTCTGGTTTAGACACTGTGTAGGACTTTTTAAAATGTCTTCATAGGAACAAATATTTCAACTGATAGCCAAATTTCAATGAACTTTCTTTTATCAGGTTTCTGAATAATTATAAGGTTATTAATTGCTTGAATAAAAAATTAATTAGAAATGTGAATGTGATCTATCCCTAGATGGGGAACTACAGTTTCTTCTTACCTTCCTTTTGTCAAGTCACTTTGAGAAGATTGCTTTAGGTGCGTCTCTAAAATGCAACATAAATGGAACATACATGGACATTGGAAATAATCTGTCTAAAAATTGCACATCTCTTCGAACAGACCTTGGCACAGGCTCAAAGCATGCCAGCTTGCACTTTTCCAGACAATTCCTGTGCACAATTTAGACATTAGTGTTGGTCATAACCCATTCTCAATGGGCAAAACATGCTTGTGACTATCCTGGGTAAAACATGGAACATTTGGTGGCTGCAAGCTCCAGTGCCAGAGAACAGTCCCAGGCATGTTTAACCTGATATTTATATGTAGCCATTTCATGATTTCACTGAGGATAATTAACACTTCTGAAGAATCAGAAAGTTCTCTCTTCCAAGGAAGCAGTTTTTAAAGGCCTGAGCCCAAGACACTTTTTTTAACATATGCTATATAGATAGGCATATCTCTGTTTTAAATCTTCTTTTTCTGGCAAGTTCATTAAAAATGGAATGGCAAGGTATGTTATGATATTCTTAACTTTTTTAATGCATACAAGTATGACTTTATGAATACAGAGCTGAATACAACAGCCCTTAAGGCCAATTTTTAACTTCAGTCCTTTGCCAGAAGATTAATGTCCACATTCACAGTTTACTTTAACATTCAAATTAAAGTACCAGAGTTTTGTCTTCTCATTTTTTCTCCATATAAACATTACTGTACATTTTAATATATATGCCTGCCGTAGAATTCATACTGTGTACAAACAGAAGCTCATTCTTAACATGGTAGAGAGTCACTTAAAATGAAAAAGTACCATTTAATTTAATATTTAATTCCTGTTAGTCAATTAAGCTAAATAATTAGAAGAAGGAAAAAATACTACCTCCATATGGCTTACCAGGAAAAATAAATAAAAATCAGTAGTTTCCATGAAGTTGTAAACTTAAAGCAAGTAACCATACAAATGTTTGACTCCTCTGGCTTCTTTGGCTTTTTATTTAACATGTACCACTGTGAGTTTCATATTCAGATTGCTTACTTTTCACAGAATATCTCCCAGTCAGTTTACAGTTACATGGTGTTATTATTTGTTCTGTGAACTAAAGGCAATGCCAAGAACATAACTTTGTATTACTTGTCATGCAGTGTACATTATTAAATTCTTCCTAATCACTGTGATCCAGCCTTAACACCAGATTCTAAATAGAGTACTTAAATTTAGGATGATAAATAATGATTGTGTTACTGTATAGAGATAATAACTTTCCTTTTTATAGGAAAGTTCTGTCCAATTGAGAGGGTATATAAAATAAACAGTCTTAATTTAAAAATATATTTTACTGGCATGTCCTAATTATTTTAAAAATCTACCTGGCAATACATATACTGTAATATGGGTAATATACGTACCTGTAAATTACTAGGAGGTAAACAGAATGCACAGTGCTAGTGCATCACATAACTTAAAATGACAGGTACTTGAATGTTATACTGGCCCTTAAAAAGACAAAAATGGTGAAAACCAATGCATTTTTCATTTATTCTACAGAAAAAAAATCAAATTACAACAATCATATCTAAGAAAACATTGGTGCCAGGTGTATTTTTACTCCAGTATTACAGGGTGTCCATAATTTATGAAGCTGAATAACAATATGTAGCATTCAGGGAAGTTAACATCAGAGTGAGGAGGGCAAAAGAGGTCCCTTCTCTACTTTGAGCAATACTATCTTTGCAATTATAAAGCTTATCTCAGTACACAGCAGCAGCGGTTGTAAACAGCAGCAAGAGACATACCTACAGCTTTCCATATATTTTGTGAAAATTATTTGAGTGCTCTCTCCATGAATATCTTTAATTCCTGCCTTTTGAATTAAGATTTACTTTGAAAAACAAAAAACGAGTCTGAAGTAACAGACTGGGTAAATAGCTTAAAGTTATGGGAACTCAGTCATTTGTTTTGGGCAAAAGATGCATTTGCCCTGGACATCAAAGGGAGCAGGATTAGGTTCTAAAGCTTTTACCCTGAAACTTGCAGTTCATTTTCTAGACTACATAGGTGTGGATTTGCCAGGGGAATTCAGAGAGCTCTGCCCTTCTCCACACTGCAACCAGCTTTGTTCATGCAGTTTATGCTCCTTAGTGTGCTACAGTCATGGTTGCATGGCTGCATAGCTCCTCCCATAGAGATTAGGGCTATCTCCACCCCATGACTAAGGCCTGGAACAGAAATAAGGTTTAAAGGCTTTTACAGCAGTTATCAGGTAATTTGAAATACTTGATTTATCACTTCTCTGGTCATTTCAGGCATGAACCCTATGCATACTACAGTGCTTTTAGGAATATAGTGAACATCCATTCTGCAATAGATTGTTGTGAGTGAGCTTTTGAAGCAGAATACAAGGAACTGCTTGTCTGAATGCAGTCAAAGAATTTGATCTTTCATTTTTAAAAGTGGAATAAAAATATTTTATTTCCCTTAAGGAAAATAAAATCCTGATTTGCCCATGTGTGTTACACACTACCTTCTCTCTTAATGGTTTAAATTAGTTGTTCTCTTGTGCAGGTAATACAGCATAGTAGTCAAGTAAAATAGCCATTTCTACAAGTTCTTTTAGTTGAGTGGTATTTTAAAAGCATTAAATGGTCTAGTGATAGGTGTTGTGCCTGACCATAGAACCAAATAGGTGTTGTGCCTGACCATAGAACCATTTAAAAACATATTTGGCATTTGAAAATTAAAAATTCAGTGTTCTGTATTTTATTTACATATTAATTCACCAACTAAGAAAAAAATAATTATTTAATAGGATTACTAAAATTACAGAAAGACTCCATCAACATGAATTGATAACAATCACTTAGAAGTAGATTGAAATAGTATTCCTGAGCTTTGTAATTTTAGAATTGCATTTTCCTGGAAATTCATAGATGTGTAAGTACACATATATATGAACTCCAGATAGGTAGTTCCTTAAGTTATGTTTTATTTCCAAGAGAACGTAAACAGTTTTCCCCTTGAGTTACAGAGTTGCAATGTCTTAAATTAAGTGCGAAGACTTAAGGACACACTTCATTTGCAACACCAATTATTTACCTTTATTTCGAATTGATAACTTCAAGTTATAAATGCATAAACGATTTCAGGATTGGGACCCTTTATATTGACTTGGAACAAAGATCTGTAATATATTTTTTTCAGAGCCTAGTTTACTCTGTCTCTGTTAATACGTGCCATTAGAATAATAGTATTTCCACTACTGAATTACCGTGTTTTCCAGTGCCGTCTTCACTTCTGTACTTTTAAACAAAAAAAAAAAAAAAAAAAAAATACACTTATAAACCAAACTTTGATTCATCCAAAATTATGAATTTTGTAGTAGTTTAAGCATGAGAGAAGCATTTGAAGTCTATATTAAAACCAGAGCACAATTCAAAAAATCCTAAGCATTGCAGAGATCAGGTGCACTGGTGTAAGATTCTATCCCTTTGTGCAAATAACATTTATCCAGCGCTGAAAGGGTGTGTTTATATGTCACAGGGTATTTACAGCTGTGTCCAGCTGATTCCTGGAGTCGACAGACAAGGAGTGCTTCCTTTAGAAATGAAAGGATTTTTGTCCAAGTACTGAGCAGCAAACGACATTAAGTGAGTACTAAAAGACATAGTTACTTCATGGTATATAAATGCTTCTTCATTATAATCCTGTTATGATTATTCGGTTTTACCTGTAGAGAGGAACACCAGAGAGTCTTTCAGATTAGGACATGCTCTTTCTCCAAACACTCCTTCACAACACACAATTAAAATATTTACAGTAAATATAGTGGCGGTGGAGCCTCAGCCTCCAGCGAAGGACATTTCACCTGAACATCAGCATTTTCCCCGGTGCTCGTCCAAAAAGCCCGTTTTTGAAAGCCACTCCCTTTTCGTATGTCCATCTGGAAATCCCTCGCCCCTGCAATGCTTTGAGCAGCGGGTGTTTCGGTTCCTGCGGCGCGGCCTCTCACATCCACACAGAAAGGGCATGAGCGGCGACAGTAACTCCAGCGAGTGTCCCACCTCCAGGGGCTGCCGCCTCTGAGGGTTCAGTTTAAGAGCCCTTTCCAGGTCTGCCTCCTGCGAGGCAGACTTTTGCAGTCCTCCTCCACCATGCTTAGGCAGGACAGAAAAATAAACACCAAAACGTGTATTTTTTTCCAAGAGAATCCCTTCTTCGCAAATCCTCAGCGGAGGCTTAAGCATAAACTTCGGTCTCGTTCCGCGCACCAAAAGGCCGGGAGGAGGGAGAAAATAAAAAAAAAGGGGGGAAAAAGAGAAGGTCGTGCAGCAGAGAGAGGAGCTACGCAGGGGAGGCTCTGCCGGGAGAGGCGAGGCAAGGGAGCCCCTCCAGCTGCAGCGGCGGAAGCGGCGCTGGTGGAGCGAGGGAGCGTTCGGGCGAGGAGGAGGCAGCGGAGGGAAGGGGGAGGTTGCTGGTGTTTGGCGCCGGTGGAGGGAGTCATTCCTGCCGCTGCACTTCCGGTCGGCATTTTGTTCTGAGAGGGAGCGAGAGAGACACACACAGGATCCTTCCCCCTCCTCCTCGCCCTTCTCTCCCTCTGCCCCCCCCCCGCTCGGTACCGACTCACCGTGCCCAGGCCGCCCCTCCCCGCCCTCCTGCGCTCGCACTCTCGGAGGGAGCGGCGGCGGCGGCGGCCCCTTGGCAGCGCTGCCCCTGGGCCATCCTCCGCTCTCCCCGGCTCGGAGCGCGGCTCGGAACCGGTTCGGCGCGGCGCGGCCCGACCCGTGTTGATGTTGTGAAGCAGGCTCGGGGGGAAGGGATTTGCCTCGGCCGCACACCCCCCAGCTCTACATGTTCGCTGCACTGAGGAGGAGACGGAAGAGGAGCCAGCCCCCCTCCCGGCCCGGATTATTGTTGTTATATTATCTCCCCTCCTCCTCCTGCTCCGCGGCGGCGGCGGCGGCCCAGCGGCGGCGGCAGCTCCTCTGAGGAGGGAGGGGGGCGGATTTCTCTCCCCCTCTCTCGGATTCTCGTTGGATTCAGACGCCGATTTGCTCAGGTAATCCCCCCTCCTTGTCTCCCCTTCCCCTCCCTGCCCTCGCCAGCAGCGGGCCGGGCCTCTCAGCCCAGCGGCCCAGCACTGCCGGGAGCAGAGGGGATTAGCTGTTATCCGGGGTAGAGGGGAGTAAGTGGCAACCGGAGGTGTTTATTTCGCAGCCCCCTTTCCTGCTCGGTCGGGTTTGGCGGAGGAGGTTGGTTCGTGCCGGGCTGCCGGGAGGCCCAGGCCCGGCGGAGGGCGCAGGCCCGCCGGCCAGCGCCTTTACTCCAGCTCGGGGATTAGAAAGGCGAAGCGGCTGCTCAGTGACAGGCCTCAACCCGAAAAGAGCAGGAGGAGGAGGAGGAAACAATGCATTTAGTCGCAAATGTGCACTGATCCTTTCCCATATTTACAACTTCACCTAGGGCAAGGAAGGGTCCCAGAGCAGACAGCCCTCTGAAGTGGGGCAGAAGTGGAGGCATAGGGGAGGAGAGACAATGTAAATACTCAGGAACAAAAATGCCACTTGGCCTTGCTATTACCTTGTTCTTCTAACCAAGTGTGTTCTGAACATTCAAAAGTTTAAATGCTTTTGGTTTTATAATTTTTAGATGTTTCATTTCTAAATAACATTATTGATTAGTATGTTAATGACTTAGTATATTTATAGCATAAAATAGTGCTTGAAGGATGATTGACACAACACGAACACCTGCAGACCCAAGAAATACAGATAGCATAGCATATTATATCAGGTATTCCACACAATTTTGGTGTCTGTGTCCTGTATACGCTACAGGAATATACATTAAAGGAAGAAATACCATTTTCTGCTTCTAGCAAACGGAAAACAGGCAAGGGATCGTGTGTAAAGTGCTATGTTTGTGACATTTAAGGGACTAAGGTGAGGATGAGATCTTAACCAAAGTACTTGAGAGTCACATCTAAATTTATTTATGTGGAGTGTGAGGAATGCTTAAAAAGTGTCATCTTTTCTTGTCAGGCTATATCACTTTGAGATCCTGAGGTTGTTATTGGCTGTTTGTGTCCATGATGTTTGAATATGTAATTAGGTGTAATTTTAACAGGTCAACTGTGTTTTGAAAATGACTGTTTATTAGTCTCAGGTCTTTATAAATAAATACTAGCTGATTTACAATAAAGTAAATCTTGTACTTATAAATGGTAGAGTTGTAAATGTTGCTAAAAACTCAGGCACATTTAAACAAACACCCTGTGAACTAATAAAAATGCTTCTACAGAAATTACATAGCTGCGGGAAATTTTAAGATACAAAGTTTTCATCCTTGTAGAGAGGAATTTTGCTAGTGGCAAATGATTGTTGATATTACATAATTTGTTACATTTTCAGCAGGATTTTTAGTTGTTCAGGTAGATTTGCTATAATACATGGTTACTATATCTAATAGAGTAACTTTCTGATGCATTGCGTTCAGAGTCTTGTAAATGAAACTCTGCTATCGTGCCTCCTGCGTGCCCTGATACATGTTTAAAAGGGTGAAGTTAATATAGCTGTCACGTAGAAGGCGTGTTTTTAATGCTGTAAATCCGTGTAGTAGTCAGTAGCGTGTCCGTGATTTGTATTGGTCAGGGAGCAGTTTGAATTTTAAAAAGCCAGAAGATCCTGCTGAGCCCCAATCCCGGCCTCCCTTCCTCCCACTAATCTCCCATTCCTGTCTTTGTGCTGCCTGGTCCTGTTAGACACTGTTTGCAACAGGGCCTCAGGCCTACGTGCGTGGAGAGGAACCATTTACAGTTCGAAAAAGCAGCTTTTTATTTTTAAACTTTGTGAAATGCAGAGGGAGCCACTAGTCGTCTCTAACTGTCCCCATCTCGGTGTGTAACAGCGGAATTGCTGTTTGCTTTTGCCCCGTAGTGTGCGTGGAGACCGAGTGTAACTCTGTTTCGCAGGAAAGAAAGGACTGTGCAGAAGTAGTTGTAGTTCTTGGGTAGTTTTCATCATCAGGAAGCGACATTACAGCCCTAGCATTTCTTGCGTCTGTGTTTCAGGCAGCTGCCGTTCTAAGAAGAATGTGTTTGTTAAGCTAACAGTAGTGAACTTTTCTGACTGATTTTTCATTTAAGGAGGGTTGCTTTAAATATTCTCGATATGAGCAGGAAATGAGCTACTGTAGTTACATAGTTCCTGTCAAGTTTATCTTGCCAGGGTTGTGTGGTTGTGTTTACAGCACCCTTTTTTTTTTCTTTTTATCTTTTTTTTTTTTTTTTAACCAGAACGGATGCACTTTTCTGGAATGAAGAATAGTTGTATTTATAAAGGGAAATATAAGATGTCTATTTTTATTTGTAATTAGTTTTTTGGGTTTGTTGTTATGAGCCGTATGTGGTTAATCGTGAATTAGTTACTTGATCAGTTTATATAGTTTTACAGAAATATTTAAAGTTGAGATATTTATAAGAGGACTTATTTTTCTTTTGAGTTGCATGTTTTAGCATATTTGAGAGTGTGTGTGTGCATGCATGAAGCAGGCCTGTGGCACTTTCATACTACTTTTTCCCTGATGTTAAGAGCTTCTACTAAGTGTTTATCACAACAGCTAGCTGCCTAAGGACAATGTATTTATTTTAGTGATGTTATGAAAATACAAAATTAATTATTCTCGTGATGCTAGTTGTAACTATTATTTTATCAAAAAGAGAAAAATGCTTTTTTCTACATTTTATTTTGTACTTTTTCCTGCTTTTTGCATTTTGAATTTACTTCCTCTACACAAGTTGTTTTTTTCCTCTCAACTTCTTGAACATTTTACCTAAGGTTATTCCAACAAAAATCCCTTCCTGAAATCTTTAGCTGTTGATTAAAGCTGGTTTTATACTTTTTAAAAATCAAAACATAGAAACAGAAATGTCAGTAAAATAATATTTTTTTAAGATTTGCAATGTTTAAGTTTTGACTTAGAAGCAACAGACAGATCAGAGAAGCCAAATTATATACCTAAGCCCTTTTGAAAATCATTATTCTACATAAGAGCACAGGTACCCCATTAAACCTTATGCTTGAGACTCCATGTACATAAATGTTCATACAACTCTTCTTGCAGAATCAAGGCCATAGATAGTAATTTCCTTAGGAGAGAAACTTTTTTTTTCCTTGTGTTGTTTTGTTAATTTGTTTGTTAGTGATTATTAAGGTAATATAACTTTAATCCTAAATGTTTTGTGTATATAGTCCTCTACAATATAAATAAACAATATTTTGGATGATACTAGGTAAATAATGTGGATTGATTTAAGCTAGAGATCCTATTCCTGTTTTCATATGTTCTGTGGCAACTGGACTTTCATGTCTATTATATTACAAAATGTTAAACTGATTATACCACATTTATGTTAACATTTCATAAAAATTGCACAAGACATATGAAACTTCTGGATAATTGCTGTAACTAGAGAGAAAAATATCTACTTTTATCCTGAATATCTAGATCTAGGAAAGAAATCAAGTCTTCAAATTCACAACTTTATAATTTCTAGAAAGTATGTTAGAGGAGTGCATAATATTCATGAATGTGTGTAATTTGGATAACAACCATGGACATACTTAATCAGAAAAACATGAGTAGTTGTAGCTTTAGAATTCGTTGACTGGTAGGTGCGAAGTGGGTCTTCAGGTGTTAGGGTGGTTATTTAGTATCACAAAACACTAAGAATATTTAACATTGGAAAGAATGGCCATTTCAGTATCATACCACTTATTTTAGATCTTGTTTTTCATTTGCCTTTATTAGAAGTAATTCAGGTTAGGTTAGCTTCTGATTTTGAAACATCAGCAGTAATGAGCACTTTGTTGTAAAGAGATTTCTGCAAGGAAATGCTTGAAATTGGTTACACCTGTGTATTGTTGCTAATAACTCTGTACAATAATGATCTCTTTTAATAATAAAAAAGTATTCTTGAAATTAAGAAAATAAGTGTTTGACAGTTGCAAACTCCGTAATATAACTCATGTACATTTATATTTTTATTTTCTTTGTATTGCAAACATACTTTTTAGTAGCTGATCCTGACCCCCAAAAGGTGTTAAAAAAGTGATTTGCATTGACATGTATGACACTCCATGAGTAAGGAAATTGAGTTTGAGGAGATTGTGCAGGACCTGTGATTTGTGTTTCAGTTCTTGTCCCTACTGTTAACCATAGAAAATCTCCCCAGCAAAAGGAAGGGAAGAAAGGATTTTGGCCCATCTGTATGTGGAAACTAAAAGGGATTCCAGTCAGATTGAATATGGTTGTTAATACTGTATTTTAAGGTGATTACTTGGTCTGCACAAATAACTTCAAAAGAATGTAAATATCCAAGACCAGTTTTTCATGTTGAAGTCATAAAAAATTCTAGAAAAAGTTTATTTTATGGCCTTTAGGATTTGTATCAGTTTTAAGTGTAAGTAATCAGAGATCTCAGATTCTTTTTATATGAGTAGATAATTAAATTTTTCATTTTATTGCTGGGGTTTGATTTGAAGTGCTCTGGTTTTTGTAGCAGCATGTATGTGTAGACATGCAATGCATTTTAGAGGAACAGTGTCAGAGAACCCTAGGCTGCAAAATAAGGGAGTCCTGTAAGGAAACAACCAAGTGAGGAGCTGGGCCTTTAACTGCCCACAGTATTCAACCCTTCGCTTGCAGCCCCAGTTCAGTGCCTCATCCAGTGCATGTGAAATGCCAGCTGACCACTCTTATAACCTAGTTTATGTACTTATCATTCAGTGTGTACCCTGTTGCCTTATTACCTGCTGTGTACATCCCAGTCACTCAGGAAGGCTGAAGTGTTTTCATATTTTAATTTGTAGAGTTATCTCAAAACAAGGTGCAGACTTCAGAGAGTTTTGTTTTTGCACATCTGTAAAAGATTTTTTCAGTTTTACAGATGAAAGACTGCAATGGAATCAAAATAGTGAATTTTAAAAGCTTATAAATCTTATCTATTGTGACATACTTTACTCTTCAGATTTTTAAAGTTACTTTACAGCACTTAGGAAGTTCATAACATTGTTTTTGTTGGCCTTGTTTGAGGTCATGTATGTTCTGCACTTCAACTTGTTAGGCTCATTGTTTCTCCTCTTGAAACCCTAAGTATAGAATGGTTTTTCACTGGAGGCCTTAAATATCTATTAAATTTCAACTCTTTTGATCATGGCAACAGTTGGAAAAAACCGGACTGCCTGTCCTGAGAACCTAAAAACGAATCACCCTCTATCTCTTAAAGTTTATTTGGGAGAGAACAGGGCGGATCATTAACTCAAATCGCTCAGTAATTAACTGTTGTGGCTACAAATTGAACACAGAGATACAAAATGTTACTGTTACTCTCTAGGATTGCTAGTTCCTGTTGGAAGATATGCTAAGCATGGGGTTGGGATTCTTGGGGATAGAGCTCTGGCTCTTGGCCTGATAATTGTTGCACTTGATGAGAGTGCTTGAGAGCCCGCCTCTACGCCCAGTGGTCAGACCACTGCGATGTCATTCAGTTGTCAGGCTCCTCTAAGACTGTTAGTGAAGCAAGGCTCTTCTGGGGTGTAGTAAGTGCATTCCTAGCCAGAAGATTGCTTCGGGGATATAGGAAGTCCAGCCCCAAATGTGTAATTGTATCAGGCACAAAAGTTCTTGAACTTTTTTCTTCTCCTTTGGCTTTTTGTATCATGCTCAAAGCGTGGCTCAGGGACTGTGAGTACATTACAGAACAGGCAGAATAAGTAGCCCTTTAGTCTTATTAACTTATTTCCTTTCTGTCTTGTGCAGATTTTCTGTGAGAGTACATTTGTGGAGGCTTTTTGTTAGTTTGTTTTGTTTTTCTGCTTTTGGTTTTGATTGTTTTTTAGAAGAGTTGTTTTTCATAAAAGTCAGTTTTCGGCAAAAGATGTCTTGAATGTGAAACTTCTCAGTCAGCTGGTTTTATTAGCTGTGCTTTATTCAAATTCCTTAGTAGGAAAGTGTTATGTTCCATGTAAGGCACCTCCTTGTACTTTGTAAGTTTGTGTTTCATGACATATATGTCATGTGCCATATATGGGGCAGTGGTCCTCTGAATAACAAGAAATGGTATATGATCATCTAATCAATGAGTATCACAATGCACAAGGAGCTAAAATATAGGTACAAGCAACCATAACACTAACATTTCTTAATACTTCTATGCTTGTTTTTGTAGTACCCACCTTTTTTCTCCCTTTTTTTTCCCCTCAAGCTCACTGAATAACAAACATATGTCTGTGCCAATGCAATCTCTATCTCTCATGTTTGAACTTAAGTCTTTCCTCTATGTTGACCTCAGAAAGGATGAGGTTGCAAATACTCCATCTCTGAAATTCTGTTTTCAAGTCTTATGACTTAATATGACTGTCTGCATTTCTTTCATGCTATTTTCCATTCAGATGTGTTGCTTTCTCTTTTTCTTCAGATATGTTTTCTGGCTATTGAGAATAGGAGGAAGAATTTGGAGGGCCCTCACCAGATGCTATGTACAGCAGCTGACTTTAAAAAATTGCCGTAGAAAAAATAATCTGGAACCTGTGGGGTTCTTTTGATTATTTTTTAGGTTCTCAGGACACTTTTTATAGTGTAAAAGCTGAACAAGTTTGGTGAGATTCTAATGAGACTGTGGGGAGAACTTATGGGGAGTTCTTTGTGAAGATCTAAAATCTTTGATTTTTTTAAACTTTGTTATGTTTTTTTTCTGAAGGAAAAATTTTAAATCTGCTTGGTCATGTGTTTGTTAAGTTTCTACTTAAAACTAAGGTGATGTAATTGCTTTTTACTGTGTGAATGCTATGTTTCCTTTTTTTTCCTTTCTTTTGAATTAATGGAAAATAGATTTTTTTCTGCTAACATGCTCAGTAGTGATTGTCTCTTCCTGGTAATTTCTTTTAAAAACTCATGTTGAGGCATAACCTGTAACATAGCACAATTTCATTTATCCTTTTAAAATTTGGCAGTCAAGGATTTGAAGCATTGCTTAA